CTCAAGGACTTTTCTGCCTGGGCTAGTTTTGAAATTGAGGGTGGCCTGAGATCTTCAGATGTCAGCTTCCTGAGTAGCTAGGATAGAGAAATGAGCCACTGGAACCTGACATTTTTTGTGTATATGTGTGTGGAGGATAGGAATTGAAGCCACGGCCTTGTAGTACATGCTAACCACAACTTATATATAACAAAGCTACACACCCTAGCCTCTTCTCTCCATGTGCGGAAATAGGCAAAATTTTCTGTACTGGCTATTTTAGAATATTCAGTCATTGTCAACTATAGTTACAGGTGCTGTATTAAAGGATACTAGAAGGTTAATGGGCAAGGGTGTCCATTAACTGTCCTCTTCTCCACTCTTCCCCCAGGCTCTGGTAACTACTTTTCTACTACTCTACTTCTTTGAGGTCAATTTTTAGGCTTCCACATGTGAAAATGTGTGATATTTCACTTTCTGTGCCTATTTTCACATAGCATATTATTCTTTAGTTCAGTCCATGTTGCTGCAAATGACAGAATTTCATTCTTTTTATAGCTGAGTAAATACTCTATTATGAGATTGTGGTTTGAGGCCTGCAGGTAGAAAAGTCTGTAAGACTTCATCTTTAAAAAAGCTGGGCTGGGGGCTGAGAAGGTGGCTCAGTGGTAGAGCTCTTGCCTTGCATGCATGAGGCCCTGGGTTCGATTCCTCAGCACCACATAAGCAAAAAGAAAAAAGCCGAAAGTGGCGCTGTGGCTCAAGTGGTAGAGTGCTAGCCTTGAGCTGAAGAGCTGAGGGACAGCGCTCATGCCCAGAGTTCAGGCCCCACGACCGGATCCAAAAAAAAAATAAAAAATAAAAAAGCTGGGCTGGCCAGGCACCGGTGGCTCATGCCTCTAATCCTAGCTACTCAGTAGGCTGAGATCTGAGGATCGCAGTTCAAAGCCAGCCCGGGCAGGAAAGTCCGTGAGACTCTTATCTCCAATAAACCACTAGAAAACTGAAAGTGGCTCTGTGGCTCAAGTGGTAGAGTGGTAGAATGCTAGCCTTGAGCTGAAGAGCACAGGGACAGCACCTAAGCCCAGAGTTCAAGCCTCACAATCAATCAAAAAAAAAAAAAAAAAAAAGCTGGGCTGGCCAGACACCTGTGGCTCATGCCTGTAATCCTAGCTACGCAGAAGACTGAGAACTGAGGATTGCCATTTAAAGCCAGTCTGGGCAGGAAAGTCTATGAGACTCTTTATTTCCAGTTAACCACCAGAAAACCAGAAGTGAGGCTGTGGCTCAAGTGGTAGAGCACATATCTTGAGCTTAAGAGCTGAGGGACAGCGCCCACCTAGAATTCAACCCCACGACTGGGAGGGGGAAAAATGAAGCTGGGCTAGCAATCAAGAAGGTTTGTGAACCTGAACTCAACCTATCTGAGCAGAGGGACAGGGACTGCTGCTGCATTAGGGATAAATAGGAGAGTAGCCTGCCCGTTCTGTGTGCTTGCTTGCCAGATTTCTGACTGATGGCTCATCCTTTTGCAGAAGTAAATATTGCCTTGCTGAGGAAGAAAATAAAAAAAAGCTAGTTTGGCTGGGCACCAGTGGGTCATGCTTATAATTTTACTACCTAGGTGGCTGAAATGAGGATTGTAGATCAAAGCTTGCCCAGGCAGGAAAGCCTGTGAGACTATTATCTCCAATAAACTACCGCCAAAATGCTGGAAATGGTCAGGTACTGGTGGCTTACACCTGAAATCCTTAGCTAGTCAGGAGACTGAGATCTGAGGATCATGGTTTAAAGCCAGCCCAGGCAGGAAGGTCTGAAACACTTACACCAGTTAACTACCAAAAAAAAAAAAAGCTGGATATAGAGCTGTGGCTGAAGTGGTAGAGTGCTAGACTTATGCAAAAGAAGCTCAGAAATAGTGCCCAGGCCCTGAGTTTAAGCCCCAGGACTTGCACACACACAAAAGAACAACTAGGTTGGAGGCATGTCTCAAGAGGTAGAATGAGGGGCTGGGAAGGTGGCTCAGTGGTAGAGCGCTTGCCTTGCACGCATGAGGCCCTGGGTTCGATTCCTCAGCACCACATAAAAAAAAAAAAAGAAAAAAGCTGGAAGTGGCGCTGTGGCTCAAGTAGTAGAGCACTAGCCTTGAGCTGAAGAGCTGAGGGACAGCTTCCAGGCCGAGTTCAGGCCCCACAACTGTGCCCCCCCAAAAAAAAAGAGAATGACAGCTGAACAAGCATGATTCTCTGATATCAAGCCACCAAAAGAAGAAGAGGAAGGGGAGAATGGGGGGGCCCCAGTTATAACTAGATAGTATAATTTATACCATCTCTTCCTCCCTGGCTTTTTAGTAGGGGAAGTGGTAAGGATAGTCTATACAGGGAAGACAACACTGAGTATTCTGGACTTTTCCTTTTTCATCAAGTTATATTACTTTTGTTTGTTTGTGATGTTGGTACTGGGCTTAAACTCACAGCCTGGGTGCTATCCTTTAGTTTTTTTTTTTTCACTCAAAACTGGTGTTCTACCACTGAAGCCATAGCTCCACTTCTGTCTTTTGGTGGTTAATTGGAAATGAGTTTCCCATCCTGGCTTCAAACTGTAATCCTTGGATCTTAACCATCTGAGTAGCTAGGATTACGAGCATGAGCCACTGGCATTTGGCTTTTTTTTTTTTTTTTTTATAAATAGGGAGCTGGGAAGATGGCTCAGTGGTAAAGCGCTTGCCTTCCATGCATGAGGCCCTGGGTTCGATTCCCCAGCACCACATAAGAAAAAAATCCAGAAGTGGCGCTATAGCTCAAGTGGTAGAGCGCTAGCCTTGAGCTGAAGAGCTGAGGGATAGCGCCCAGGCCCAGAGTTCAGGCCCCACAACTGGACCCCCCCCCCCAACAAAAAATAGGGACTTACGTATTTATTTCTGCACTGCTTTTGCCTATGCCTCCTGTGTAGCTGGAACTAAAAACATGAATCACCACTGCCCAGCTTTTTTGTTGAGAAGAGGGTCTCAGTACCTTTTTACCCAGGCTACCCTAAACCACAATCCTCATGGTCTCTGCCTCCTGAATAGCTGGGGTGACAAACATGAGCCATGAACACCTGGTCAATAATTCTCAAAGTACCTGCCTCATTAGCTTTGAGGATTAAATGATTAGTATGATTTGCTAATGCACATGAAAATTAGAAAATGCCCGGCATACTCAAATGTTTAAAAACATAGCAAACCTCTGTCTCTGCTGTTGTGGGCATATAGTCTAAATGTGCTTTATGTGTAGTCATGGTTGGATGTTATGGTTGTTATGCTGTAATCCCAATACTCCGGAGGGTTGTGAGTTTGAGGCCAGCCTGGACTGCATACTAAGATCCAATCTCAAAAAAAAGAAAAGGAAGACTAAGGTGAAAGCTTTCGCCTCCATCTCCCTCCTCAGAGTTCGTAGCAGCAGCTGGGCTTCCAAAGCTTTAAAAATAAAAGTTCCAGTAGCAGCAACTGTTGTTGCTATAATCTGAATCTGTTTCTTGGGTTGGTTGTGTGAGGTACTTGGTTGTTCTATATGGTTATCATTTGAAACTTCTCCTGATCGAATTTTTCCATATAATAAATTTGAGCTTCTGAACTTTTATTTGGTCAGTTATGGGGCTTGAACTCAAGGCCTGGGTGCTGTCCCTGAGCCTCTTTGTGCTTAAGGCTAGTGCTTGACCAATTGAGCTACAGCTCCACTTCCAGGTTTTGAATGGTTAATTGGAGATAAGAGTCTCTCAGGGACTTTTCTGCCTGAGTCAGCTTCTAACCTGGATCCTCAAATCTCAGCCTCCAGAGTAGCTAGGATTATAGGTGTAAGCCACCAACGCCAGCTGGAACTTTATTAATTAATTTATTATTATTATTTATTTATTTATTTTGTCGGTCGTGGGGCTTGAACTCTGGGCCTGGGCGCTGTCCCTCAGCTCTTCAGCTCAAGGCGAGCGCTCTACCACTTGAGCTACA